TCTTTCTTCCAGAAAAGTCTTAGTTTAAAAGAAAAATAAAGCTGGATATATATTTCTCGATCAATGCTAAAAGTTCAAGGTTTGCGGATGGTACAAAGAGTATTATTATTAAAGAATCTCAATGAAGTTAATGAAATGATAAAAACTTCTTAAAAGTTACCTACCCCTCTCTAAAAAGACAATCCAAACTACTAACAGAATTTCAAGAACTTATTGATGAAATTTAATGTCAAATTAATGCAGCAGTATTAAGAATTTCACTAACTGCAAAAATAATAAAGTGAAAGACTTTTAAATAAAGTGCATACCATGAAACAAGTAATAACCTATTTGACCCTTTCAAATATTTTGATATCAAACCCATGATTTTTTTAACAACAGAATTTAATATTTTTTTCTAACTGGTTCTTACGAACTAATGCCATTTCTTGGTACAATTTATTTCACATGTATATGCTTAAGAATCTAAGTAAAGTTTTATGTTTCAAAATATACTCCACAAACTATACCATGAAGTGAGCAGAATATTATATGTTATTATGCAGGCTAAAAAATCACATCGCTTTTGTATCCTGTATGTTTTAAATATAGCTTATATTAATATAATGAAAACTATGAAAATTTATGTAAATTACAATCTTTATTCTGTATTTTTGGTAATAACTAAGCAAAACATTGTAGCAATAATTTGAAATACAGGCACACAGATTTAGTTAAAAGCAAAATCTGCAATCATTAATCCAGCTAATGTATGTCTTTTTTCTGTAGAAAACAGGAAATTAAAAAAAGATTAGAATATCATAATTTTAACCCATTTCAAAAAGCGAGATTAAAAGATGACAGTAAAAATTTCAGAACATTTCCTAAACTAGCAATTATGAGGTATATTTTTTTCAAACACAGTTTTAGGAACAAATTTCTTGGACTTCAAGCTATCAACAGATAGTTTATCTTCCATTTCTTTCAGCTGTCTTTCAAGTCTTTCTTCTTCTGTGCTGAGTTTTTTAGTTGGTGTATATTTGTCTGATAACAATCCCTCAATATTATATCCAATTACTCCTATAACAATGGAGATAGGCAAGGTTATGTAAGGGCTGTAACTCCTTACCAGTGCAAAAAGAGCAGGTAGCATATCTTCTATGTAATTCACATCAAGACCAAAACTAAAACAAAAACATTCAATAAATACTATTAAATAACACATTACTAAATAAATAAATGTAGAGTAGACAAACCTAGGTTAAAATCTTTTTAAAACATCATATTTCATTCAGAAAAAACCTAAGTCCTATCTTGAGCACTGAAAGGAAAATCTAATGCAATAATCCAAATAGCACAATAAGACTTTGAAATTACTTCAGTGATTCAACTAAAAGCAACAAAGGAGGAAAAGTCATTTTATGAGGACTAAATACAATATGTATGCTTCTGTACCATGCTTAGCGAGAAAGTGAACGAAGAAAAGGTTTTATGATAAAGTACTTTTGGTTAGTCTTATATTTTAGGATGCCTCCAGGATTATTGCCAAGTTGTTTCATTTATCGCCACATTGTTGCTTAATTTATGGTAACCTGAGTAGTTGCATGTTATGGAAACCCTATTATGACATGATTGTGGTGAATTTGACTGACCGGAAAATATTTGTAAAGGCTTATTTCTGCATTGGATATCAGTTAGGAAGTGCATTGCTTATTTTGTACTGAAAAACTGTAAAATGGCTGTATGTGATGAAATTAATGTGAAGTTTCTGTACGATTTGAAACAAAAGGGCAAAAAAGCATTAATTGACTGGTGTGCAAATGAAGGTTTACTTAGTACAGTCAAAAGTCGTTAATCCGGACTCGTCGGGACTTCGGATTATAGATCATCAGTTTAAATCTGGTAAAATGGCATGCAGAAATTATAAAATTAAAAAAATGAAACCGTAATTTATGAAACAAAGAACAATTATGATCTAAAGGGTATCAAAATTTACAAAAAAAAAAAAAAAAAAAAAAAAAAAGCTAGCTTAATATTTATTTGTTTACTTTATTAAACATTTCTTTCAATGCAAGTTGTTTAAGTTGCTTCGTTTTTTATGTGATAATACAGTCTCTTTAATTCTATAAACAGACATAATTTCTTCTTTAGTTACAAAGTTCCGCTGTTCAAGTCCTATAATTGCTGTGTTGAGAATACTGACTAATTTGTCAATCGAAATTTTTTCGTTTTCAATAACCTCTGTCACTTTCTTCACTATCGGAAGTGAATTATAATGATGAGGAATTTGATTTAAATCATATCAAAGACGGAGTACATCGAGATGAAATACTACATTTAGTAAGGAATTATAAGCCAAATAAAATAAAAACATCTGCCCTGAAGATAAGGATAGTGCTGACAGATCAACTTCCAATTCATTGCGCGCTGCAGTGTTAAAGATAAACAAAGTTTAGATAAACAAAGGATATGCCTTTATTCATTTTTTGCAGCAATTCCACTTTTTGTTTAATGGACTTCGAAACATACTTTCGCTTTGTAGAGCCTTTACATATTAGTAAATATGTATCAGAAATTCTATTTGACATAATCGAAAGTTCAAGCTTACTTTTATAAAATTGCTCTAACAGTCTGCAAAAAATAATAAGCCGAATCCAATTCGAAGATTAAGGAACAACGGAATCTGCAACATTAACCGAATTAGATAATTTTAGCTTAGCTTATACCATCCGTTATACATTAAACGCACATTCGTAAACGTATTTTGCGCACACGCACACGCATATTCGCATCCGTAAAGGTCTTACGCGCATGTGTCGGCGACGCATGCGCAGAAAGTTGGTTGCTTTGAGGTCTGGATTATGTCCGAATTAACGACTTTTGACTGTAGTCATTATAATTGTCCTGTTTTTATGAAGAGAATGCATATGATCAAACACAAAGATCGTTCAGATGGCCTTGAATGGGCTTGTCGCAAGAGAGGTTCATGCAAGAAATGCAGACAGTCTGACACTATGAAGGGATATTTTGATTCTTTTTTTTTTTTTTTGTGAATTTATATGGTGATGGCAGTATTTTTGGATGCTGTTAAGGAATTTTGTGTGCCACAGACTGAAGACACAGAAATTTCCGTGCTATTCCGTTTTGAGGACCCCAAGAAAATTGCAGCGAAAATGTATGTGCGAATGCGCCAAATCTAGCGTACACGCTGTTTTCGGATTGCGTGAGTTTATATTTCTTAAGACGCCATTGAAATACTAGTTTAATTTGTAAATTCTTTTTTGATATCTTACTGCGCACACCCTTGACTTTATATATGCACACATCGACGTATTTTCACTTAAAAAGTAAAAGAAAATTGACAAAAATACAATTGTTTTTACCCTTGTAAAAAGCGTCAAACAAGTGGGCATTTCTGCACTTTACTGAGAATTTTTCCAAAGAAAAGGCATCATTCGTTATAAAAAATTATGTTTGAACAACCAACGAGATGAAACTATGCTTCAGCGATAACTCGGTAGCGAAATAGCGATGCAGGCATCCATTCAGTTATGTTTAGCAATTTTTATATAAATTATAATAATGATCTGAAATAGTTATTTACTCTTATGCTTTTATTCAGTCATGCTTAGCCTTTTTTTATATAAAAATATAATAATAAAAAGTAGTATTATACGAAATTAAGCTTTCATCTAAATTAAAAAATCAATCTTAAATAGTTACTATTATACTTCCTTTCTTGCTTTAAGGTTACTGCAATTATTTTTGGCAGCACTGGCATCAACAATAGTTAGGCGATTTTTTACGGCCCTCAAAATCAAATAGTACCGAAATTTCTAAATATGGTAAGTCGATATTTCCTTTTTGTAGTGTCTATATGTGATAACATGCATATTTCCTTTTTTACGTTATTCCACTGTGCGATTTAAAATGCAGTTTACTGAGCTTCGATAGGCTACAAATATAATTATTTTAACGTGATATGACGTGATCATTCTCCTGATTTTTTTAAGTGAAAATAGATTGATGTGTACATGGACAAAGTCACGAGTTAGTGCAATTCTTTGATGACTTTTTTAAGTGAAATTAGATCGATGTGTACATGGTCACAGAGTTTGTGCAATTCTATGGACTTGTTATTTTGGTTTTGTGTAGCGGCCATCTTGACATTGTGCTTTGCTGGCCAATCGCCAAGGGGCACCCTGAAATATATACGATGAAAATAACATTAACGTAAGTCTATTAGGTGAATACAGTCAGTAATATTACCTATATTAATGTAAATAAAATTAAATACAAATATTACCTGATTAAACATCAGCCGAATCTTAAGTTCTACAAATGTCAACAACACATAAAGACAATTCTAATACAAAAAAATAATAATACGAAAAACTATGTTGAAAACCACCATGGGATGAAGAAATGAAATCTGAGCAATTCAAATTTCATTAATTTAATAAATTTCATTTATCGGTTGGAACCACTCTAAGGCTAAAATTTAAAAAACGGAAGATACCACGAAAATGCGGTTGAGATGGAAGCTATGGCATAGCAATAGGTCAGTACATAAAAGCAATCAAATAAAGATTAATAATAAAAGAAATAAATTCAGCAATATTAATAGCATCATATGATGCCTTCTCATACCGCAATAAAAGTACGTTTCTTTCAGCATTTCACTTTCAAGCACGTCTTCCACATGAAAATACGCGTAAAAGACAGCTATACTTCTTCCACACGAAAATACGCGTAAAAGACAGCTATACAAATCTATTGTTTTGCACCTTACTGTGCTTTTTAACAGATCATTTGGTATATCAGAACAAGGCTGTGTTAAGCTTGGTTAAGCCAAGGGCAACTTATACGTTCTAAAGAAATATATAATTTCTGACTCCTACAGATTAATCGTTCTTAAATTTCGCATATAACAATACAATATTTATTTCTGGTACATTTTTGCTTATTGTAAACATCAGCATCATCATGTGGTCAGTTGAAATTTCACGAAGCCTACCGAAAACAGTTCCCACTGGTTGGCCATGGATAAGCTGTGTAGATGCCTGTATATACGACATTTCAAATGTTGTTTGGCAACAGTTTCACCTGCTCCTGAGTTTTTGTTTACAATTGTGCTCTTGAACTGTAAATAATGAGCATCGTTCGCGGAGAGGATGTCTCGTTGACGGTGTCAGAGCAAGTTCTGTCAGCTTGCGCTGGGGCTTTAGTAACATCTCTGTTTGGTAAGAAATAATCATATAATGGTAGAAAGAGATAAATCGTTTGAAAACAAAAGTGTTTTATGGTCCCCTTCTTTTTAATTATATTTAGTACTTTTGTAGTAATTACCGCTTTACATATGATAAATACTGCATTTAGATGAAAGTACATGCAGCTTAGTAATCTGTAGTCCAGGTAGATTTGTCAAGAACTTGAATGCGCCCAAATAATAAAAGTAATTTTCTTCTAAAACTGTTCGGTTCTTCCAAATGTTAGTTACCAGATACTACATACACTATATTAGTATATACTATGTACTATATATATATTTTTTGAATGACCCGTTTACTTCTCATTGTATATGTCCCGTTTTTACTGCTCATCATAAAGTCGCCAAATCCCGTGTGCACTGGATACTAGGATTAAACACCAGTCTATGTTAGACATGATGAATAGATTTGCAGCTCTGTCAAAATGTACTATAAATGTTTGGATTATTTTGCCCTAAAAATCATCCCGATGATTTTAATGAAGTGCTTATAGTATAATTATTACTTTAAGGCACGTTATAGATTTTTGTGTAAAAAATTCGTCTTGTGTAGTTGTTATGGGAAATACTTCTAAAGAAAAGCATAAGCAATATATAATTAAGTATTTGAGTCGTGTAAACCAAACAGATGTGTAATCGGTAAAAGTTTATTTTTAATGAAATCAGTTTTCAAATAATCTTTTATTGAAGAAATGAAAGCAACCTAAAATTGCTCCACCAACAAACATATAATAATACAGCAAATGGCGTGTTAAGAAATATAGAACTATATAAACTTACGCAATCTGAAATCAACGCATATGCTATATTTGGCACGCTGTTAAATCGGCGCGTTTGTCAGGTTTGGCGCTTTTGCGCATACATTTTCGCTGAAATATTTTTACGGTCCTCGTAACCGAATAGTACCTTCTTTTCTTTTTATTTACTGAACACTTTTTCCAACAATCTGCTTTCCGAATTACACTTATGCTAGAAATTTTATGGAACAAAACTGCTTAATCATGACAAATGTTAACTGCCAAATTGGGAAAAAGTGCAGAATCGCAAACTTCTTGCCGCGTTTTTCAGAATCGCATATACACATAAACCATGTACACGTCAACTTATTTTTACTTAAAAAAACATCCCAGTATTGCACAAAAATGGCATTGCACACACTTAACTTTATCCATCTACACTGCTATTTTCTGATAAATTACAAAAATTTGCAGGAAAATTTTGTGAATCTTTAAACTCGGTAAAAAGCACATATATGAAATTACCTGATCGCAAAAAAAAAAAAGTATATACCCTTTCCAAGAATGAACATTCCCACGTATAAAATAAATAAAATATCCAAAAAATTTTACCTCTAAATTATCTATTATATTATAAACGTCACCAACGAATTTATACCGCAAACATTAAAAATGGTTACAAATACTTAGCGTCAAATATTTAAATTATTTCCATGCACGTTTACTTCAACTGAAACGTATACCAAATTGCTACAAACATAAAACTCACAAAATAACTATCATTTAATTCAAATATAGCTAAACCATGTACACATCGACTTATTTTTACTTAAAAAAAATCCCAGAATCGCACAATAATAGTATTGCGCACACTCTTCACTATATCCATGTACACTGCTTTTTTCTCATAAATTAGAAAAATTTCACGAAAATGCATGAAAATTTTGTGAATCTTTAAATCCGGTAAAAAGAACATATATGAAATTACCTGATCGTGAAAAAGTATATACCCTTTCCAAGAATGAACATTTCCAAGTATAAAATAAATAAAATATCCAAAAACTTTTACCTCTAAATTATCTATTATATTATAAACGTCAGCAATAAATTTATACGCAAACATTAAAAATAGTTACAAATACTTAGTGTCAAATATTTAAATTATTTCCATGCACGTTTACTTCCACTGAAACGTATACCAAATTGCTACAAACATATAATTCACAAAATAACTATCATTTGATTAAAATATAATTAAATTAAAAAACACTACTTAAAATATAAATAAGCACATATATTAAATTAATAAAAATTTAGCTTACAATCCTAATTACTTTAAACTAAATCATTGCTAATAACAATTTTCCAATAATACCATATTACTTTATTTACTCTTATATTTAGAACAATGCATAAAAATAATATCCTCAAATAATTAAAAATACTAACTTACCTAATGTTCTTCAGAATCTTGATTACGTGGCGGATAAACTTTTCTTATAGATTAAATAATCCAGTAGTCAACTGGCATTCTATTCACCCACTAATAAGAAATCCCCATACTCAAACGATTTTCAGCAAACCACATACCCTTCCTTACACTCTGTTTCACAAAATGTCCATTTTCACCAGATTTCTTGCACCACCGTTCAAACTTATCTGTAATATCCTTCCTTTCACACAATCTCATTTCATTCCCACATGTTGGACATTCATACTTATCCGCAATTAATCCTACACTCGTATACACCATTCAACCAATTCTTTTGAATTATCAGATAAAATGCATTAAAAATTTTATAATTCACTTTAGATAGTGCCATGCAATCCAAAAATTAATCAACACTCTTTCACACAACACACAATGAAGCTTAATACAAAATGCAGCTATAGTACTGCAGATGTATTTTTCCAAATTTATCCCCTTTTCCGATTAAAAAACTGTAATTCGTCCATTAATGTCACATGTCATATCTCATGATCTCTCATTTCCCTCACACAAAATACTAATGCGTAATTGGAACTGAGTACTTCTCACATTATTCCCAAAGTCCTAGGTAGTAACCTTTATCGCCTCCAAAATGTTGCCAAACTACCTGTTACCATATTCCAAAGATTAGCCATTTTTTTTTATTGGCGGCTGTAAGTGTTTCAAACTGAAACAATCTGCAATACTGTAATCTGCTATACTGCAATCAATACTGTAGCAATCTGCTATAATATATGTTTAATAATATCTGTTGTTAAGGTGATAACAGAGAGTACCATCATGACTGTTCTGCTAAAAGTCTTCCTTTGCAGTGGTTGAAGTGAGTATATTGAAGTTAAATATTACTTATTGATTTACTTATGGTACAGTTAAATATTACTTGTAGTAATTTTCAGCAAATATGGCATCATTTTTCAAATGTGCAAGATCTGGAAAATGTAGTAGCTTGTTTATGTTGTATCATAGTAGCTTGTGCAGGTGTGTCATGAATGCCTAACTTCTGGACAAATGAGTGTACAATGCTTAATTTCTGCAATTCTGTTGGTCCCATCCCTCCTGAATATATCAGAAACTCACACAAATTTGGCATCATGCATGCATTAAACATTATTTGGCCCATTTTCAAATTTTATTACATATGCCTGTCCTAGAAGAAAAGAAAGAAAATTCAAGATAAATTAATATTTAAAGTTTAATTTGATAATACATTGCAAAAAGATGAGTGTAAATATATTTCCATGATTTAAAATATGTAAAAAAATTGAAATTTTGTAGATATAAATTTATTAAATCAATAAAAAGGTAAAAGTATATTTTAGGTACCTCTTAGCGACTTTTGGCAGTACATGGATACTGAGTTTGTGCAATTTTTTGACTTATTATTTTGGCTTGCATAACAGCAATTTTTGCACCAAAAATTGTCACTACACAGAGCCAAGATAAGACAAAGAATTGCATAAACTCGGTATCTATGTACACATCACATATTTTCACTTATTAAAAAAAATCCCCAAATTGTACAAAAATGGCATTGCGCACTTCCTTGACTTTATCCATGTACGTCGACCTACAAGTACACGTATCCATGTACACATCAACCTATTTTCATTTAAAAAAAATCCAAGAATTCCACAAACTTGCATTGCACACTACCTTTATCCATGTGCACATCAATATATTTTCACTTAAAAAGTCAAAGGAGCACCCAATTCTACAATACAAGCAAACAAAAATACATAATCTCAATAAACTACATTTTAAACCAAACAATGAAATAACATAAAAAAGGAAAAACATGTTATACCTTTAAGCACTACAAAAGCAAATATCTACTTACCCTATTTAGAAGTTCCTTCGTCTTTAGTCGGTGGCACATGAAACTGTTGTTAACAGTGCCAAACAGTGAGAAACTGTTGCTAGTTATTTATAAGCATTATGCAGCAACATACTCATAGCATCTGTACATTTGTTTTAAGTAACCCCGTTTGTTCTCAATAAGCCACATTTTTGTGAACAAAGATTTAAAACAGTTATTACAAACAAACACGCAAATAATTTAACAGTGCTGTGGGTTTGTTAGCCTCTCCTGTCCTCAGTGAAACTTAAGGCAGCTTTGAAAGTTTCTGTAAAGTATCAACCTTTTAGAGCATTTAAAAATAGCTACTGCACATTTAAATTTTAAGTGTAAGTTTATTTGTATTTTTATATATACTGATAATTATATTAAATTTAGCCAAATCACACAGATGATAAAAAAATCGATAGAAATAAAATGGTTGAACAAAATATTTTTTTAACCTTTTGAGGTTTATATTATTTTTTACTAATAGTTATTTTAATTTGTTAGCCTTTTCTGTCAGTTCTTGTTTCTCTTGCATTTTCCTCTCCAGCATGTAAACGAGTTAGGTTGAAAGAGTATGCATTTAAACTGAAGTAATGAAAAGATTAGTCAGAGCATGTTTCACTATTGAGTGTGCACTTTGTTGTTTCTGCCACTTGTTTGAATTCTGAATCTCAGCTTCACATTCTTGTTACCAAAGTTAATATCATGCCAGTGTAAGTTTCCGAGTCAACCGGCTAGGTTAAATTAATTTGTGTAGTCTACTATCAGCTTATCTTTTAAATTTTATTTATTTTACCATTATCTTTAGCTTTATTACCACAAGTGAATGATGGATTTGTAAGCACAAAGACCTTGCCGTCTGTAAAAAATTGAGTTAAATAAATGGATCTTTTCCTCTTTTCCTCTCTTCTATTCATCTTCTAGTCTTAGGGATAAGTCACCAACAGACTGTCAAGTAGATTTAGCAGCAGTTTATGCTAGCCAAGAGCACTAGCATTACAACCTTTGAAACTATCCAAGCCATGTATGTATATTGAACAATACAGTGTACTGTCGATTATCTGGGTGTGAATTATCCAGTTTGCAGAATACCTGTGTGTGGTGGTGCCCACATGCACACATTCAACACTTTGTACGAGAGTGTGTAAAAAACAAGCACATGTAAATCCGGGCATGCTTTAAAAACCATTGAATTGCACCTTTAGGCTTAGTTTGAGTAATTTCTTTGTATAACTCATTCTAAATGTGCATAGTTGAAGGCATCATTTTGATTGAAGACTGGGATTTTTTTATACGTATTTGTTGTATTTGTATGTAAATGTCAATCAGGGAAACATAAAGGAATGGTTTGATGGTGATTTGACTGAGCTGGGTTTTCAATGCTTGAATGGTATGCATATCATTTCAAATATCAGAAGAAAAGAAGAGGCAGAGAGTGATACTGAAAACACAAATGAAGAAGGTCCTAACAATATTAATCCCAAGGCAGCAATGGCTTATGCTGAAACCATTGGACATCATTGACCACAGGAGGTTCGATGATAAAATAGCATTTTGAAAAATATGCGGTGAAATTCAAGAAATATTTAAATGCTCTCACAAACAACATAAAATTATTGATTTTTTTAAGAAACCATCATATTACAATATGCATGAAAATTGTTAGTTTGCATTATCCATGTTTTTTCAGTTGTCTGTGACTTGCTTCCCCAGTCTCTGGCATTAACGCAGGTAACTGAGAGCACACTATATCTTTCGTAATACTTTAATGCAAGTGCATGTATCTTAAGATGTGCCTAAGGCACTTTATGGTGAGAAAAAGATCTGAGTATAAACTAGCAAGGGCATTTTTAATTATAATCAAGAAAATATATTTTTAATTATATTGTCTATTTCCTGGCCTTTTTTTAAATTTGGTGTTTTGAAGAAAACCTTTTGATGGTAGGACTGATAAAGTTATGTTGTCGAACACACTTTTTTCAGCTGTCTTGCAGCTAACGGTGGAAATAAAAGCAGTTTATACCTCATTAGAATGTGGTTATCAGACATATGTAAGAGCTTATCTTTGCTGCACTTTTTAAAACTGGCAAATGAAAGGGCAGAATATGAATAATCATGCTATATAGCAACATGGAAATACTAAATTTAACAGGTTATTAGTATCATTTACATCTTCTCATGTTCGCAGGAACAATTATTTTAGCACTTGAGGCTTGAAGAAAATTTTATGGATTATTTTATTTATTCCTTGGAGAATGTGCTTTTTCGCAGAATCTTATTATTTACTCGGGAGAAATTATTTGTTAAATGTACCCAGTTCATATGTTTCCGAACATGTCTTTTTTTACAGGAAACACATTGTTCAGTGTTTTGAGCAGTCCCCCCCCCCAATGGAGGGTACCAGCCATTATAGGCATATAAGGCCAGAAGTGGTAGCGACTTTATTATGGAGGCACCTAACAGATGGACTGCTGTTGCCTCCTGTAAAGGGACAGATAATTTACATCCATGCCTTCTTCATAATTTGAAACTAAGCCCTTGGTGCACAAGTCAGTGTTACTAACCACTTTCCAGTCTGGGTGGCATATTTTGAGGAATTATGAGTCTGATTTCCAAGAAAGTGTCAAAATTTAATGTTTGGAATAAATTTGACTTGTCTAAAAGAATTAATCACATATTGTTGAAAAAAATCTTTTTAAAACATTTGTTAGCAAGTTTTATTAAATTCTGAAATGTATATTAGCATCATAATTAAAATGTAGATTTATACTACTAATAGTAATCGAACAGTATTTTATTTTTTTGTTTAGTACTGCATTGCATTTAAATGCATAATGGTTATAATGTAATAAATAGCATGCATTTTAAAGCACTTGAGTCAGACTAATTGAAAGGAGATTACTTTTTTTAAGTTACTCCATTAGATGTTGTGAAGATACGACTTCAAGTGCAAGAAAAGGTTGGCCCTGGAAAAAAATGTTTCCAGCATTATAGTTGTTTATGGGATAATTTATGCTACTGCATCCAAGAACATGGATGCAAACGCTGTGAGTGGTATAAAACAGAAAGGCAGTTTAAGGGAACTTTGGTATGTATAAATTGTTATATTATAATTTGTCATAGATTGTAGAAAGATATAGAAATGTGGTATTTTTCCGTTTTGCTGGTGCAAATCTCACCAAGCAGACTTTGTTGGTGACAGTATACACATAAAAAAATGTTAACAAATGTTAGTTCTAAGAATTTTTTATTTTGAAGGATAAACATTTTAATATGGTTTAAAATTTTATAAAAAGCCAGTAAATAAAGACAATAAATTTTTTAAAAAGACATTAATTTAAAAGTTATTACACTTCTATGGTTCAACATCCTGATTTGCCGGTTTGTATCACATGACCCCAAGTGATATCATCTCAAGTAAACTACGCTACAAAAAAACTAATTCTCTACATTAATTTCAAGTTAAATCTTAATTTGGAATACAAGTTTAAATGCAAGAATTATTTCAATTTGTTCGGATAGCTTACTCAAAAATTATCTAAAACCTCATTGCTTTACTTAGCTAGTGCATCCTTATTAGAATTGATGGATTTAACCATTGATTTTGCCTTTTCTATATTTTCGCCTTCGTGTGAAAGTGATATGATTGCATCCTAATAGACTTAATTACCCACAAATGGTCTTAGGATATAAAATTTGAACTACCTAGTAAAAAGCTTCTATGCAATTGTATACCAGTATTGAAACAAAGCAATCAATCTGATAAGAATATGGCTGGGATTTGTTTTGAAAATGAAGTGTAAAAGGTTACCAGCGAAGATATTCCGTTTGGCATCAGTTGTACCATTATTGGCGACTTTATCGCTTGTGCAGGCAAAACGGAAAAGTACCAGAAATGTTTATAGCATTGTATTAATGCTTAAATTGAGAATGCTGTTTTTACTGCATAGTGAATTCACATTTTTCTTTAATATTAATATGTATTGTATGCTACTATATCTGCTATAAATGAACTTTTTAATGTAGTCACAATTCTCAGCTTCAATGTCTATTTTTTTTTCCTGCTTCTTTTTTACTTGAATTAAGAAACTTGTGTTTAACAAAATGGTTCGTAATGACTGAGAGTAAATTGCTTTGCATGGATGCCTAATCTTAATTTACAGTAAATAGTAGTAATAATAATAAATTATCATTACATTCTATTACTCAGCCTCTCTGCAGTCAGTTTTTTCTCTGTCAACCATTCACTTTCATTATTTTCTGCAGTCACATATGAGTGGGTTTCACAGGCTAATGCCAAGGATCTCTATGGATTATTTTATTTTTGTTTTCAGCTGACAAGTTTGATATTCTTAAAATGTATTGATTTCAGAATATATTTATTATGCCATTTGATGCCAGTATCTTTCATTTTCTGTATCACTAAATGTTGGTAGCTTATCTGGTTTCAAATCTGGGTGGGCAGCATGTGCAGTTTCTTGATTTTACTTGTGTAATGTAATTACCAACCAGTTCCATTTTATGAACCAGTTCCCTTTAGTAACTTCATGAAAAGCTCCCTCTCCTTAGGCAAATAAATAGTCCTAATGATCTTTGCAATACTATGCCATTTTACCATACCTTCTTAGTTTTTTAAGAGAATATAGTGCCAATAGTTTTTAAGAGAATATTGTGCCAAATTTTCAAAACTAACATGTGTATGTAATTGTATAAAACTTTTCTAATTAATCATAAATTAAAATGTCGCAAATGTTTTATTTGCAGTATCTTAATATTTTACTGTACTCCTCTTTAAATCATTTTTGTGAAACATATTTTTCTCTGGAATGTTGAATGGATAAGATTTATTTTTAAGTGACAACAAAAAGAAAGTTTGGTAGATTGAAATAATATTTCCATCCGGAATTTTGAAAAACTTTCTGTTTGGGTTGCTTATTTAAATACTAATGTGCAGATAACAAGTAAAAGTTTTGACTTTATCTCAGCCATAAAATTGCAACATGTAATTTTTTCTGCCTGCAGCTGTAACAGGTTTATGAATCGGGGTGCTGTTTCACTCTTTCTCATAATATATGTTTCATTGATGAAACTTAGTTTCGCGTATGTAGTTGTGAAAATCAAAACTTATAACATTAAACATCTAAAATTCATGCTTATTCAAATAAATGAATTAAAAAACTTAGTTAGAGAGAAGGGTACCCCTTGTATTATTGCGAAGTTGTTTTTTCATTTATTGCCAAGTGGTGGTTTATTTATGGTACCCTGAGTAGTTGATGTTATGGAAACCCTATTATGACATAATCGGTTGCATGATTGCGGTGAATATGTAAAGGATTGTTGTGTGTGTTGGTTAGGAAGTACATTGCTTGTTTTTTGGTTCAGATGGTAAAATGGCTGAATGCGGTAAGATTAATTTGAAGTTTCTGTATGATTTGGAAAGAAAGGGGAAAAGAGCATTACTTGACTGGTGTGTAAATGAAGTAACTTAGTAACCATTATTAAGTGTTTCTGTTTGTAGGAAGTAAATGCGCATGGTTGGACAATACGGCGCTACGGAGGATATTTTTGACTCTTCTTTTGTGAATTCAGTATGCGGCGATAGCAGTATACAGATTCTAGTTCAGATAATTTTAAACAGGTTTTCGATGGTGTTAAGGAATTTTTGTTTTGCTGAAGATGTGTTAATTCGTAAGTAAAGTAAGTGGATATTTCCTTTGTGTAGTCCAAAGATGAATTTCCTTTTTTCATGTTATTTCATTGTTTGATTTAAAATGTAGTTTATTGAGATTATATATTTTTTTGTTGGCTACTTCTTTGACTTTTTAAGTAAATATAGTTCGATGTTTACAAGGATAAAGTCAAGCGAGTGTGCAATGCCTAGTTTGTGCCGTTCTCTGATGTTTTTTTAAGTGAAAATAGGTCGATGTGTACGTGGATAAAGTCAAGGGAGTGTGCAATGCCAAGTTTGTGCAATTCTGGGATTTTTTTTTTTAAGGTGAAAATAGGTCGATGTGTACATGGATACTGAGTTTGTGCAATTCTTTGCCTTGTTATTTTGTCTTTGTGTAGCGACGGTTTTTGACAAGCCAAAAAACCAATTCAAAGGATTGCACAAACTCGGTATCCATGTACCACCAAAAATTGCCAATTTTCGCCAAGAGGTACCCATAAATAGTATACTTTACCAAAAATGTAAATTAGAAAAATTTAAGTCTGGTAGCATTACTGCCTTATAAGCAATTTTTCCTGTAAAAGCTAATGAAACTGTATACAAGAACATATTCATGCAGTTTGTATTACTCCTTGAAGAAGATGAGAGGTGATGCTAGTTTCAGCAGGATGGAGCAGTATGCTGTATGTCTAATGATGCTGATTTTTATTGATTAGCTGATTTCTACAAGTTTTTAGCCTATAATATCCTCAGACATAACAGAGCTCTATTTCTTTCTTTTGGGAAAGAAGATTAGACAGAGGAAACTCATACAAGAAATATGAATTGAAGTTTGATGAGACTACTTCAGTAAGAGGTGTTCATAGTACAGTTCATAGTTCATAGAGGTGCAGCACGTAAAAGTACGTGGAGGGCCAAAATCAGGGGCAGGCGTACTCTCACGATACCACGCTGAAATATTTTAAATTCATTAAATTCATTGTAAGTACTTGTCCCATCAGACTTTGAGAACAAAATTATCAACTCAGAATTCATCCCGCTAGTTATGGGTTGGGCATTCATGCCTATACCTCTATGCCTTAGGAAATACAGGAAAGATACATAAGGGGTGAAAATACATTCAGCATATTCAGTGATGGCTCAAAAACCAACGAAGAGGCAGGCTGCACTTTTATTTCTCAATATCATGATAAAGTCTTAGAAACATGGAAAGGATACCTTGAAATTAATAGATCGGTTTGTTTGTTGAAGTTAGTTGACCAAGAAATCTGCATTTTCTCAGATAGTTAGTCAGCAATCTTCGCTGTTCATGATCCATTCCACCCATTGCCGATAACAGCAGATATACAATGTCTGCTCAAAGAAAATGTGTATAACTGCGATATCCAGATTTTTTTGGATTAAAGTGCACACGGGCCAGAGACAATGAGGATGCAGACACTCTTGCGAAGGAAGCTGCAAAGAATATCGGTGCACAGGATGTCCAGATCCTGCTTCCCAAATCTTATCTGAAGCGAGTCTGCCAGATTAAATCTCGGCAACAATGGCAAGAGGAACGGGACTCTATATCACAAGGCCGTAGAACCCATGACTTTGTCCATAGAATTTCCCGAGATCAACTCATCTCTGCCCCTTTTCTTTCCTGTTTGATCACAGGCCATGGATCATTTCCCCAATATTTCTATGAAATAGGAATAGCAACAATTGGCCATTGTGTCTGTAAAGAAGTAGGCACTCCTGACCATTACGTTACATCTTGCCCCTCTCATGGAAGAATGGCACACAAGGCTTCCTGTACTGACATTGCATATAAATGCTTCTTCATTAAGCAGCCGGCCCAGCTCAAGAAGCTCAAAAGCATTATGAACAAGCTTGAAGCACTACGATTATGGACAAACTTGAAACTGGATTTATACAGTCCACAATAACAGACTTCAAACTCGCAGAGATTTGGAGCATCAGTGTACACTGGTTTCCGTTGGCTTCTGCAAGAAGTCCATTTTGAGTCAGTGCGCAAAGTAAAATTAGGCTGGGAACACGAAAAACAAATGTAAATATCATATAATATTATCCAAATGTAAATGGTTTAATTATGTATATTTGTAATGAGCTCATTAATGCACGGGTGCAATAATGTAAACATGTGCATATTATAAATAAAATATTGTATAGCATATTGTTAATAGTGTATTCTATAGCACATTGTGTACAGTACCTCGTAAAATGTCTAAGTAGCCTTGGCATGTAAAGCTATGCTTTGAGCCGCAGGAAGCATAGTAACTATAACTGTAGTAGTGCAACTTAATGTATTCAAGAGCACAGAATGTAAATATTATAGTATGTATGTCAAATACAGTATATAATGTATCTAGTACGTGTAGAGTCACATGATGAAAGATACTGAGCAAAGCAATTATCAATATTGCTCTGTATAAAATGTATTATGCTTCATATATAGAATGATGTGTGTTGCAAACAAGACACCTGTACATTGTATGTGATATTCACAGCAGTAAGTAACAATTGCATATTTTCGTATTCTGTAATTTTTTTTTAAAGTGTATTTTTAACAGTCTGTTAAAGCTTTTTGTATTAAGAATTATGTTGTTTATAATGAAGAGTTATTACCAGTGCCTATGTTACATGTTCAATGTAATATGTAGCTAATACTCACAATGCATTAAGTGTAGTAGTGAGTTTTGTTGGGTGTCTTAAATATAGTGCAGTGTTCAATGTGATATGTATTATAAAAATTTTTAGTGTATTGAGTGTTTTATATATAGCAATGTGTTAAAGTGCAACGTGACCAGTAAAATGTTTAACTACAAAGTTATTTTTGGTATGTTTTAAGAACATAGCAAAATTTATGCCACAGTGAACTTTTAGCATAATGTTATTTAATCAAAAGTAGGATGGGTTGTATTGTGTCCCCAAATCTGTATTAAAATATAAATCTGTCCGTTATCTGTATTTTGTATATTATAAGTACAGCATAAAGTAACCAACGTGTATTTCTGTGTATAATTTGTTTGTAATGTGTAATTTTGCTCTCTAATTAAGCCTGTTGTATCAAGTTATTTATTAGTTGTATAGCACTGAGTTGTAAATCTGCCTTAAGTAATCAATGCAATGCATATTATAAAATGTATAGTGTAACGATTATGTGTAGCAATGTGTTAACATGCAGTGTAACCAGGAGAATGTTTAATTCTGCATGCAGAAAAATCTGGTACTTTGCCCTTGTATGGCCATGTACTTTGCCCTTGTATTGATTTTGGAGTGTAGCTTCAGATAGTTGCGGGATCCGGACGATACCCGATCAGTCTATGCAAGCCGCCCGGTTGTCCGGACCTCCTGTCACCTGTATGTACTTGTCATATGTAAACACGCTTTGTACAGTTTGTCATATGTAAACACGCTTTGTATAATTTGTCATATGTAAACACGCTTTGTATAATTTGACATATGTAAGTACTTAATGAGTATGAAATAAAAATTTTATTAATCATTGAGCACTTTATTTTTTTTTTAAATTTTGGGCGACAATCTTAGGAAAGTACGTGGGCAGCCAATGGCCTAGGAACGGCCCTGACTGCAGTTTAAAGCATCAGTATTTTAGCACTGCATAAATTGGCCTGGGAACTGAGAAAAAAGTTAATTTCACATTTGGGAAAAGTGGAACTTTTTAAAATTTTTGCAGTAGTTAAATTTTTTTTTTCTGATTAGTAATATTGTTTTATATTGTTTGTTTTGGATATGTCAGAATATTAGTTCAGTACTATAGAACACTGTGTGTTTCAGAGTTTTTTTCATTCCCTTCACGGCAAGTATTTGAGAAATGCTCTAAAGAACTCTTAAGTTGAACTGTACTTGCCTATTGCCTTCTTTTATAGCATTTAAACCTATTAAACTTCATTTAGAATGTTCATTTATAACTTCATCTGTTATGTTTAAATATAAAGCTATGACTTAAAATTCAACCCGAGGCCACTTAGTCTATATGATAAAAAAGAAATTTCTAATACCGCTAAGTTACCAAAACTGCCTCCCTCTGTTCAGTTTTCATAGAATTATTTTTTTAAGTAAACTTTTACTCTCATCTATTATTTACCATTTCCCCCCTCTACTTGTTTCTTAGACACTAATGAAGTGAAATGTTTTTTTAAAATGTCAGTTTTATGCAAAAAATATTTGATAAATTGTATAAACATAATTTCATTATTTACTGCTTAGTTTTCTTGGTACTGTTCTGTTCTGAGGACCAGATTCAGAAACGTATGTATGTATGCATGTATGTGTTCGTATGTTTGTGTGTACATGTACACATATATGTATATATACATACATACATATATACATGAATACATTCATATATTTTTTAATCCAGTTTTGATAACAGAACAGTACCATTTCTTTATGTATAGTAAAGGTAATTAGATTATTTCTTGTTTAATTTTATGTGTGGTAAATATAATTTTGTTGTTTGTTGTTTAATTTTCTAGGATGCATTTATGAAAATATCCAAGTATGAAGGCATAACATCACTGTGGAGTGGTCTTTCTCCCACTCTGTGAGTGAGTCTCTGGGAAATTTATTTGCTTTTATATTTTTATTTGCATTCAACTATGTCCATGGATTAGTGATGAAAAGACCTTCAGTAGCAGATTAAGAAAAGAACATTATTGCAAAATTCCACTACATGGTTAGGTTATACAATTTAAATTATTAAGAAATATACACTTTGTCTACAAGTCTTTACCCAGCCTTTATTTTGGTAACCACTGCTCATAGATATATTCTTCCAGATACAGCATTTTTTAAAGTAAAATTTATGTTTTGACATTTTTAATTTTTTTAAAAAACCCACAGAATCTAGCTTTTTATACAGTGTCCCTATACTTATGTATTTGGGAAAGTGATATTCATTATAAAGAATAACAACAACAACAACAACAACAAAAAAGAGTTTAACTCCCATGTAACAAAATTTGAGTGAGATATTTAAGTTTTAAATTTGGGACATTTCATGTCATTTTACACTTGCATTGAGGGGTCAGTTAGGATATAGACTGAAGAATTCAAAGTTAATTTTCTCCTTTAAATGCTATTCAGTGATATTCTTTTGTGATTTACTAGAGTGCAACATTCTTTCATGTACACTTTTGTGACATGTGGTATTGCAAAGCTATTTTCACACAAGTAATTTATAAGAATTTAAAAAACAAGTATAATAATATTCCCATAAAGTTTTATTACTTCATAGAATCTTAATCTAATAAATAGAAAATTCATTGAACTAGAAATATTTTAAATTTAGTCATATAATGTTATGAGTTGGCTGTATGCGAATATTGAAGTCAGCTGGTGTTTTCTAGAATATTAGGTTTATTCTAGACTCTGTGAACAGGAAGTTTTTGGAAAACATTGTATTGATCAATACTTTTCACAACAGTCTGCATAGAAATGCTCATCACTTAATATTTTAACATCAGAAACCCTTTTTTAAATTGGTATTTTATTTTTAGTTATGTACAAATGCAAACATTTCTGTGTTCAGTTTTTGTATGATTCCTGAATACAATCTCCAGCTTTAAAATGAAATATATATGTCAATTTTTGCTGTATGGAATCTCTTTGGATTTTTTTTTAATGAGTATAAAGTTTTCCTAATCATATGTTTAGGAACTGAGGGAATTTATAGAAAGTTAGGTTTTTGTAATTTTTACAAAGTAAATGGTTTTTAAATTTAAAAATATCAAAACATCAGTATTTGAATCATTTAAAACATTTTTGTAACTGGAATCCTCATCATTATAATTCGCTTCTGATAGCAAAGAAAGTGACAGAGGTTATTGAAAATGAAACAATTTCGATTGACAAATTAGTCAGTATTCTCGACACAGCAATTATAGGACTTGAACAGCGGAACTTTGTAACGAAGAAGAAATTATGTCTGTTTATAGAATTAAAGAGACTGTATTATCACATAAAAAACGAAGCAACTTAAACAACTTACATTGAAAGAAATGTTTAATAAAGTAAACAAATAAATATTAAGCTTTTTTTTTTTTGTAAATTTTGATACCCTTTAGATCATAATTGTTCTTTATTTCATAAATTACAGTTTCATATTTTTAATTTTATAATTTCTGCATGCCATCTTACCAGATTTAAACTGATGATCTATAATCCGGAATCGGCGAAGTCCCGACGAGTCCGGATTAACGACTTTTGACTGTACATTTTTTCCTGCATGTGCAGAAATGTAGTTTATCATTTTGTACTTCTGTGTTTGGTTTATTTAATTATGGCAAAGCATACTAGGGTTATCTGCCTAAGGGGAGTGATGCCTTCGTGGAGGGCTTTCTAAAGGAAACTGTCTCATATACACGTTACCATGGAGGTAGCAAAGGAAGGAGGGGCCAATCGACACTAGAAGTGAAGCACTGCTTTGAAGCTTAGGTCACCAGATGGGGTGTTCTTTGTTTACATTCAGAAGTTCGCTTGACAGGATTCTGATAGTATTTCGACACACGGCAGTTCCATACAAATCGAAAAAGGGACACTTTCGCATGAAAGAAACATTCATAGTGTGATGGATAATAGCAATTTGTATAGTTTAGTGACATTTACGCAAAAATCACATCTTGGTTATTTTTCGATAACTAACAACAGCGATTTTGATTATGAATTTGTTTTATAAAATTCTAAGCTGTTGAACTACCAAAAAAAAAAAAAAAAGATTTTAAGAAAAATGTTATGCTTAAAGAATGAAAAATACCTTACGGTACATTTAAAATTATATATGTCTTTCGATACCCTTGATAGAGTATTCGCTACTTTTATTTTATTTTCCAAACGCCAAAATGTTTTAAATAAAACAAATTTTTTTCACATCCATATATTATTGTTGCATATTATTGCAAAAACCATGTATCTGCCTTTGACAAAATACATAAATATTCATTAAATTATTTATAAATGTATTTGAAATGAAGAATTTATTCACTTATAAACAACTGTGAAAGTACTGTGAAGAAATCTAATTATTAAATGTATCTAATTTATAATAATTATAATAAATGTATTATCTAAAATATAATATCCTTAATATTGAATTTGTAAACATAAATTAAAATCCTGTTGAAAAATACGTTATAAAACTATTTAAGCAAGAATTGTTCGTATTGGAAAGCAATCTGTTAAAAGGTATTGTAAAGCAAATGCTATGAGATGCGCACTTAAGAAAGTAATAAAGGAGAGTTTTGGAATATGTATTGTTGAAATGAAGGGTAAAAAAATCTGATAAGTATAATTAAAAGAATTATTCCCCTTACATTTTATAATAACTCAGTTACAAGTTTTGAATAATACTTAAAAAAAAAAAAAAATTATTTTATTCCCTTTCAGAAATGTTCAGAGAAAGTCAAGTTCTATTTAAAGTATTTCGCTAATTCCTAATAATTCTCTAATTTAAAATGAACCGAATAGAGCATTAATTATAAATTGACGTACATTTTTCGATTTAAAAGATGCCTCAGAAGCCAAAAATCATGTCATATTTAAGAAAGTATTTTAGGAAGAAGCTCTATAAATAGAAAAGAAATAATGCATAATTTTAATATTAATAATGCAATAAACTTTGATCTTAATTTTTGTACCTTAACCGAATAAAATTGAATTACCTTAATTTTTTTTCTAATGTAATTAACGAAAACTTTTGAAAATATTTCATTCAAATTAAACTCGCGCGATAGACTGAGCAAGTAAAGAGCAAGATCCATGCCTTTTTTTCTTTCCTTAAATAAAGAAGACCGGCTACATCGACTCCGGTCACTTCAAACACCAGAGCATCTCGAACTCGATCTTCAGGAAGAGGTGCTGGAACAGTCTCTATATTCTTAGCGCTATATCTTCTACAGCGAACACATTTCATAAGAACTTTATGTACTGTTTTTCTTCCTCTCAGGACCCAGAATTTCTGTCGAATATTGGCTAGTACGAATTGCACACCAGCGTGGAATAATCACAAATGGTAATCTAAAATTAACCTATGAACTAAGTCATGATTTGAGGGCAATACAATTGGACAGAGAAAATTTTCTTCTTCTTCTCTTCTAGTAATCTTGGTCTTTAACCGAATAAGGCCATCTGAGTCAAAAAACTACAAAGGTTTCTAACTTTAAGTTAAATGCTTCTATCTGTATTATCTTGCATATTTTCTTTTCTACGGTTTCTATCTCAGGGACCGTAAGTTCTCCTGATTGTTTAAAATCTGGTCTTCTACAGTTGTTGGTAAATCTGCATATCCAAGCAGTTATTCTTAACATTTTATGGTAAGATGAATATTTATCAAAAAAAAAAAAAAAAAAATTTTCTACCCTTTGTGTATTTAGTGGAGAAATGACTGATTTCCTTTTTTCTGAATTCACTATTTCTGTGTCCGGTATTTTCCTTTGTCTAGGCCACTCTTCCTGGTTTTTCTTCAGCCAATCGGGGCCCTCCCTCCATCTAACTACTAAAAGTTGTTTGGCGGTGCAACCTCTTGATGGGAGGTCAGCTGGATTTTTTGTTCTAGCAATATGTTTCCACGTTTTTGGATCCGTCAGGTTCCTAATCTCCCTGACTCTGTTTTCCACAAAAACGGCCCAGACAATCTCTTCCCTTTGAATCCATGTCAGAACTGTTGTAGAATCCGTCCAAAAATGCGTTTCCACATTTTGCCATTGTAAACCATTTAAAATAGAAGAGCATAGTCTGGCACCTATCGTGGCAGCTATCAATTCTAGATGAGGGATCGTAATAGATTTCATGGGAGCTACTCTAGACTTCGATGCCAACAGATGAACTTCAGCTCCAGAATTCGTCACAGTTCTCAAAAAACTGCAGCAGCATATGCATTACTACTGGCATCACAGAATGTGTGATTGCTGCAGAACTCCCTATTGTCCTTGCTGAAATGTATCCAACGTAGGAGGGATATTTCTTTTAAGAGAAAAAGGCTTTTATACCAATTCACAAAATTTTGTTTTGTACTCTCGTCGACTTCAGTATCCCAAGAAATTCCTGTTTTCCATAGGTTCTGCAACAATATTTTAGGATACAAGAGAACAGGACTCACAATTCCAATAGGGTCAAATATTTTGTGTGTTACAGCGAGAATTGTTCTCTTCGTTATTATACCCATTTCAAAATCTTCTAGCCAATTCAGATTCAAAGTTAAATTATCTTTCTGAGAGTTCCATAACAGACCCAATACGGATGAAATAGTTTCCTGTTTCAAGTTATCTCCGTTATGTAACCTACCTCGAAGATTAAACTTTTCTTCATTTATTATTTCTCGAGATTTTTCGATGAACTGGATAATCTCGAATTCTTTGTCAAAACTGGCAACAACGTTATCTATGTAGAAGCTACGCAAGAGTTTAGCTATCATCTCTGTATCATATGAAGAATTTTTCATGTACTTTTGTAGATGGAATTCTATAACAGCTGTCAAAAGGAAAGGACTACTCTTAACCCCAAATACTACTCTAGTATGATGAAATATTTTCGTTTTCTTTTCTGCCA